TAGAAAATAAGCCATTATATGGTAAAAGGGACAAATTTTTAGTATTTCGTGTTAAAAATTTTGTACAAAAAGTCATTTGACATATAAATGTTGTATATTAAGTTTGGACTACATAGATCTATTTTCCAAATACCTTTCCCATAGAAGGGTTTACACGGAAACTAACAACAGTGCAACAAGGTTTTCATTTTTGATATTTTAGAATGAAAAAAATTAACAGTCGTATTAGGAGATATGGTGTAGAGTAGTCAATAGTCAGTCTGGCCCGCCATAGCCGAACTTTTTGTTTTTAAATTGATAATTGTATTGCTCTACAACAATTTCCGTGAAATAACAAAAAAAAAAACACAAGTAAGAAAATTTAATTCGGTAGGAACTTATACCCACTTATACTTATACTTATACTTTATACCCAGCACCGTTATCCGAAAAAAGACAAAACAAGTAAAAGAACAAAATTTTCATACTCTATAACATAGAGTGGGCGCGGCCAGTTTCCTTTACTTTCAAAACAAACATTTTTGTCGTGTAGGCATTTGAGCGTTGTAGGTGAGGCCTTTGAAAAATTTAGATCAATCAAGGCAATAATTTCATTTTCGTTAATGGGAGAATGTTTACCACAAATATTACAAAGTTGCGTAAACAGATGGACAGACGAACAGGCGGACATGTTTAGTTGTGTTCCAAATTTGAAACTGGCCGTCACATGGGGGTTATGGGGTTTTTGAACCATGTTTCTGCGCCTTATAAAGATATTGAAAAAACAAATCAAATTTGATACACTATAATGTTGGGTAGGCATGGTCAATTTTTTCCATTTTTGTGCACGAATGCTATAGCGTTCAAATTTCCATTCCTTTTGTAAAACAAAGGTGTCCTCAGTTTAGGTGATGCTGTGGATATGTCCTTCAACGGATTTAACCTACTTTCAACACCAACTTGCGTGCAAGAACTTCCAGTGTATCTGCAATTTTGAAGTCAACAGTTTCATTTATGCGGCCAGGATGATGTTTACAGCAGACATTCCGCAGACGGACAGATGGACAAACGGATAGACGGAAATACTTAAATCGATTTCGAATTAGATGTTGATCTAAGAATATATATATACTTTGTGGGATCTCTGATGCTTTTTTCTGCGCGTTGCAAACGTTGTAACAAAATGAATATGCCCCTCCATCCAACGGTGATGGATATAACAAACCACATTTAACAAAATGCTTTAGATCCTGGCAACGCACACTCAACCTCCAGATCTTGAATATAATACATATTTCCTAAGCATGTATTAAGTAAAAAAGTTTGTTGTTGTTTTTGAAAACATTTAGAATACATGTCGCCTATGGCAGCTTATAAACATTAAAGGAACACATGTTGAATAAAAGTGATTCAATTAAGTGTGATTTTGAATGTTGTAGAAATTGTTGTTAGCGTCATATATGCTATAAAGAAGAAGAAATTCTGAAAACATATCGTGTAAGTTGACACTTGGAAATATTTTATATATAAGACAAGTAAACAAAAGACAACTGAAAGAAATCTTGAGAGAGCAGTTATATTTACATCAAATGCCAACGCTAAGTACGCCGCCTTCCTGCAGAACTTAAACTATGTATGTTCACTTACTTACACACACATACACACATATATATATATACACATGCAAACACATACATCCGTCCATATACACATATATATATATATATATATATATATATATATATATATATTTGTAATTGCAATGGGAAGCCAACTCATGCACCGTTAGCCTTAACACGTTCGCCATCCGTTTGTGCTGTTTGTTAAATATTTAATGAATACGGAGCTTTCATAGGCATTAATAATTTCTATGAATATTTAGTTTTTTTTTTTTTCTGCATGTGAGTGCGTGTGTTTTTGTTTAATCTCGGATTTTAACTGCATGTTTGTCGAGCTGAAGAACAATTATTTTAAATATAAAATCCGAACAAACAAAAAATTAAACAAAAAAAAAAAAACATTGTCATCGTTACCCTTAATGGGCATAAGATTAACTACAAATAGAGTATATCCAGGTAATTAATAGATCATAAACTGGTATAAGACTTAGTGATAAATGTGTGGGGTTTAAATACATTCACTTATTAAGTATAAGAATCATAAAACAGTTTTTGCATGTTTTTGCTTCAAAACCCATAGCGTCTGCATGAACGCTCACGTTATTTGCCTGGTTTGTTGAACGAAAAACATAAATTCTAATAAAATTATTTTTATTATCCCGCGGGTGCTTTGTAGTTTTTTGCCTTTCACATGTTACAAAGTTGAGATAATTGAAAAAAAAAAAAAAAACGCCATTGGCTGGCTACGTGTGGTTTTTTATTATTAAATTGCTTTAAAACATTCTATTTATTTATTCACGAATTTTATTATAGAAAAATTTACGATGTAAATATAAACCATACCACAAAGCGTAGACAGTGAATAGATTGAGCCAACATATGGCCAGCTATCCATCTGCCTAATGAAATTCTCAGGGTCGTAGAGCTTGAGATGATTTAGAAGCAACTTTGCGCATAAAAATTCACCCAATTTCCCTAAACAGTTTTGAAAATGCGCATACTCGCTTATATATCATATATTATATCATATATTATACATTATAGGTGCTTGCATGAATTTTGATCAGCGACATCTATTGGAGGAAATGATAAAATAATGCAAAGTGTCAATGTACACAACGGTTAAATTCGGTGATTTCTACCGACACAAACTCATCCACACGTTGCACAAGTTGTCACGAATATACTGTTGCAGCTCGAAGGGAAGATTTTCCCCGCATCCAGAGCACTCTTTATGCATGGCGCCTTCTGACTACCACTTATGCGGATCGATGGAGTAAGCCTTGACTGGCACGCGGTTTCGAAATGATGAAGATTTGCCAAAATGGATCGATGATTGGACCATTGCCAAACCAATGTCTTTCTTTCGACATGGTATCGCCATGTTGGCAGAGAGATGAGAAAATGTTGTAGAAAATGATGAAAAATATGTTGATTAATGTACATTGTACCAATTTTTCTCAATAAACGTCTTTTTCAAGTGAAAAATTGATCAAAATGCATGCAAGTATCCAATGTGTCTATGAAAAATTGCGTTTTGGACAATTAAATTGGTATGTAAGCAATAAAGCCTTTTTGGTCTCGAGGTGCTAAATTAATCCCTTAACATTGGCCAGTTTATTAAAACAGTCATTAATGTTCATGTTGGTATAAGTTAATTAAAAATTCTTAATTAAACAAGTAAAAACACTATAATGGGTTACGGCACACCATTCTATACACCACCCTATTCACTACTTTTCAAAATAAGCATATGAGATGTAATCGAAACATTGGTCTCCTATCCGAACAATTTTCAAACATATCAATGTTCTAAGTTTCATCAAAATATCTCAAAGATTGTGGCTTGTAGGGAGAGCACAAGAAAATAAAGACAAAGGACGGAGGGACAAACACGCTTAAATCAGATCAGAAAATGATTGGAAATCGATCAGTACAATAAGAAGCAAACTTAATATGCCCTTGCATTGCAAGGATGGTAGAGTGTAATGATTCAAAAACTTTTATAAACTGTCCAACTCAGAGAAGGGATACAGAATCCCCCTTCTTTCAGACAAATCAAGTTTTTCTATGAAAGATTTGAAAAAGGATGCAAAGTTCCTTTGGACGAATATAGTCTTTGAGAAGCTTTAAGTGTACTGAACAGCTTAGTTAATATTAATGCATGAAGAGGAACGAGAATTCAAATAAATTTATAGAAAGTTCGTAGAATGTTGCGGATTACAAGTAAATCTACATCTAAATCTATTTTGATAAAGTTTTATTTTGAAAGAATTTTAAATATTGAAACTTTGAACACATGTTTTTCAAAATCATATTTTTCGAGATGTGGTAAGCTTCAGAACTTTTCAAAATTTTTACTCGATTGCCGTAAATTTTCACCTGCAAATTCACGATAAGACCTTCTAGTGAACATTGAACATTAGTTCGATGGATTAAAGGTTTCCGATTTTCGAGATATAAAGTTCCAATTTTTTTTTTAAATTTTTGATATTTTTTCGAATTATTTTTATTTGTTGGTTCGAAGTTGCATCAATAATAATAGGCTAACGAGACTGAGCGAAGAAAACACTTGTTTGTGCCGCTTCAATTCGTCTTCTTCAAAACCTTTAAATTATCCTTTATTTTCTTCAAGAGTTACGTTTTCATATACCTAGCTAGCTATGCATTTTTCTCAACTGTGTGATCATTTTGTGAATACCACGCCTATAAAAATTACGTAGATTGACAATGACCACGTCGTCAATACACTATTAAATTTTACTACCCTTTAAAGCGTTCACCATGAATTACTTCCAAAAAATAAAAAAACACTGCAATTTTTGTTACGCACATCATTGGCTTGAATTAGGAAATTTTCCTTTAAAAACACACAACCACAAACGTCAGTTAAATGTACAAGAGCTACGTATTCCTTGCTGACTTCTGCCAAAGCTGCTATCGTGTTTGATATAATAAAAAATTCATTTTCTATAACATCCGTAAAGTGAAAGCTGTTAACATATACTAACATACACAAGTTCTACATCACTAAAGTGAGAAATATCTTTATCTTAAAACAAATAAACCTATATCTTTCTTTCACATATATGTTTTATGCTTCGGTTATAAAACGAACACCGTACTACTTAAAATGTAGTTAGCAAACGCAGTTTACAGCTTCTACATATAAAAAATTTATAACAAATTTTTGAAACACTTAAGTGAAAATTTATCTCAAGCTCGTATTTCCTTTAACTTTATACGCTTTATACGCATTCATTGCGTCTAAATAAACAATTTTTCAATTATAACGTAATTAACACTCTTCACATTGCCTTAATTAAATGTATAAAATTTAAAAGAAATTCTTAGCGCCAGTGGTATATCGGTGTGTGAATGCTTTCAATTAATTATTTTCAGCACGCATACACTATAGCGATGAAGTACCTTGTTCTAGCTCCGATGCTGCTGGGGCTAGTGAGCGACGCAATGATTATCACCGTCAGGAACATGTAAGCAAAGAATCCATTAATATTACCCCAACGACCACGCCACACGGTTCGCCGAAACTGAAGCAACGTTTAGCTAAGCACTTAAGCAAGTCTGCTACGGAATTGAATGGTCACAATCAAGCGCCCCGCCTTTCACCGAAGAGAGCAAAAAGTGCAGCTGCACCTCATAGCACCGCCAGTGTATTGCAAAAGACTCAAGGGTTCTTCAGTAATTTAAAACACCGTTGGGGTCGGGCACGCAGCAAGGATCGTCTAGGCCGTAAATCACCGAACGATTTCCTCGAAGAAAGCACTACTGATTATGCTGCCGATTACAGTTCAGAAAGTAGTTCGGTTACACAAAGTCCCCGACATCGTTCTAAAACTATAGGTGGCTCACCATTAGCTAAGGAATTTAAGGCCACCGCTAAAATGGCTCAGGTTATACAGAGATTTGGTGGCTCCATGGAAGGACGAATTGATGAGGATCCCGAAAATGGTAGTAATGGAATGGCGACAGCTTCACATGAACCATACGTGACGACGACCCAAATAGAGGCATTACAGGTAAGCTTTATGACAGCTTTAAGTATTTTAAAGGCTCTGAACACAAAGCGACGAACAGTTATTGAAAAGACTAAGATCCAATAAATGTTTGGGATAATAAAATTTTTCGAATGGCAATAAAAGTGTAAACTCGAGTCGTCAACTCGTAAAGGAATGTTATAGTCGGGCAAGGCCAACCGTTGGACACCCTACATTACTTCGCGTTATATAGTCGTTCGTTAATTTTCCTGAGAGTACACCAGTAAGCACACATTATTTTTATGTAAAGGCATTTCATTTTGGAGGATCGTCAATACATCAACTACCTCGGCTAACTTAATTTAGTTATCATAGATTTCATTACTTTCCAGTGGCTTCCGTCATAAAAACTATAAATTGCTTGCACTCCATGAGAGTAGGGTCTAGCAAAAAAGATTCAAGTTTTTCAAATCCTCTACGTAGGAACCCACTTTTATCACAATATACTAAAAATTAGACCTTATTGGCATACAAAATTTAATATATCATAACAACTCTTACGGGCTATGCTGTTCAAAAAAATAGACCTACTTGATCCAAATTTAATACAGTTAAGGTGTATATGAAATTATACGGACATTTTATTTTTCATTAGGAAGATTATATAGGATGGAATCAAAAAAAATTAACTTACATGGTCCAAATTCGGTACAAAAATTTTCATCAAGAAATATTGAAATATCGCCATTTAAAGTTTCGCTTCCTCTAGAAAGGACTATACGGCAATCATCAAAAAAAATTGCCCGCTCCGATCAAAATATTTTGCGCCGATTCAGAATGCCGAGAGTCTATTACCCAGGAGTATATAACTTTAAAATGGCGCTCTAAACCGAATCCTTTACAGTAGCGTTCATCCTTCAAAATATCTCAAAAATTGTCACCTGTAAGCTGAACACAGGGCAGACGTCAAAAGGACAGACGGACAGACAGACAGACAAGCTTGGTTTTATTCAGAAAGTGATACTGAAATGATCGGTATGATAAAAAGTGGATCAAGTTTTTCTGACTATTACATACGTACACACAAACTTAATACGCCCTGCATCGCATGTGCAGTAAGGCATAAAAATGCACAAAATTTACAAATGACATGAGTACGCATACGTTAGATATAATGATATATTTGCACTTAAAATTTGTATAAATCTCTTCAAATAAGTTTATACAACATTTGCATGCGATGAACATTTTCACTCAATTTCACATATAAACGATTGGAGCTTAACTAATAAACACAAATATGTTTTATTTTCTTTTGTTTATTTTTGTATTTTTTCTGCTTATTATCGAAATTTTGAAAAAAAAAATCATTTTCGCAAAACTACATCAGGCTGAAGAAATACGTCGCAAAAAGGAAGCACAATTACGTCAATATGTCTTCTTTCAGTTGCGCGTTCATCTCAAAAATGGCACTGATTTGATGGCCATGGATAAAAATGGTAAATATTTATATCATTTGTAAGCTTGAACGAGGAATAATTTTTATCACATTCGTTATGAAATGATTTTTTAGGCTTAAGTGATCCCTATGTTAAAATGAAAATAGGCGGACGTTTACTTCATAAGTCACGTACGATACATCGTGATTTAAATCCTGTTTGGGATGAAGTGTTCGTTGTCGCTGTTGAAGATCCTTTCGAACCAATTATTGTTAAGGTGAGTTTTTTTTTTTATTTTCTTTCTTTTTTTAGTCGGAAGCATGAAAACTAATCTGTTAACTGCCACGTTTAGGAAAGTTGTAGCTTTTATAATCGCAGGGGTGTAATATATTCAGTAAAGGTGAGAGGGAAGCAAAGATTCTAGTATATGTAAACGTAAGACAGTCGATTAAAGGGCGGTTAGGGTTAGCTAGTTCGCTACATTTTCTTACCACAATCCGATGCCACTTATGCGTATCAGTTTAGAAGAACATTTATTTTACTTTCTTTAGAATGCTCCAACTACACACATGTAAAATTTATTCCAATTGAAGTCGCATAATCATGAACGAACTCTTGAACTGTGCCGAACGTTTTCCCGAAGAGACCCTGGTAGTGAAAGAGTTGAAGACTCTTACGTTTGCTTCGGTTTGCTCGCGAGATTTATTTTTTATTGATTTGCACAAACATTCAGAACAACTTCTTGAAAATTTCTAACAAAACTTGATTAACATTTCAACCCCAAATTGTACGAAATCCCTATGTATGCTATGTAGCAATGTGTTATTGCTAAGTATAGATTTCCTTCAAGTTACTTGGCAAAATTATTTATGAATTTCATTAAACACTTTTTGTTTTGCTTGTTCAGAACTAAAACGTTTAGCTAGACCGCTCGATCAACGATGTTGGATAGAAGATGGATTTCGACTATTCTTAGAAATTTGATTTCCTTTTTTTAGTAATATGTGATATGTGATTTTAAGTTTTTTGCCTGCAATGTTAGCAAAGTCTGATAACGTTGTTTAATATCAGTATTTTTATCTGCAGAAATTTAGTTTTCAAGTTTTATATGGCCCTGTTTAAATGGGGATTCCTCAGAGCTTCGTCGATTTGTCTTGTGGGTTTCCGTACTCTTCTTCGAACAATTTGACCTCGGTTCAATTGCTTAACAAGTTACTTTTTACAAACGTCACCTTTTAGATCCCCATTAAATCAATTGCAGAAATTGATCTGGAAAAGTATATATCAATATATAGGTCAGAAATTTCTCTGTACTCATAAAAGTTGCGGCTAAGTTTAGAATGCTCTTCTCATGTTTGCAGATGCATTTCCAAGTTTGGCCACGGTCACTTTTGAATCGCATATGCCAAGCTCTCATCTCAGCTTTCGGGAATTTTCCAATGACTTCGAACAGGCAAACTCAGAACGGACAACAATTGCATTCTGGCGTTATGATCGGTCACTACTTTTCAGAGAAAACAATGGGTCATATTGTCACAGTTCTTGTAACCTCGTATTAAATTTGGTATTTGGCATCAATAGTCAAAATAAAACTTTTCAGTATTAATTTTGTTATAAAATAAGGTTGCTAAGCCGCGAAGATCACAAAGGAAGAAATGATTTGTGGGTCTGCGATGTTTCTCAGAATAGGGCTATAAGTCGGACGAAAACGTTAGAGTAATCTTATACATGTATAGCTTGCATAAAAAATTCATATCAGCGCCTCTAGCGACGAAAAGGTTGAAACAAACAGTGACTCCTCTGAGCAGGTGCATTTTTCTCATTCACTTTTTTGTGCAGGAGCTTGCAAGCAAAGGCCTTCATCAATACGAAAAGTTAACAAATTATGCGTTCAAGTTGTTGCCGGCTAATAAGTGAAAAACATGACAATCGCCTGCTTGTGCAAAAACCATCGAAAAGTGATTGGCCAACAATTACGGCTGCTATGCCTCAAAAAACTAAAGTGTGTTAAAGACGAAACTGTCCAGTGCAATTTCGAACGGGGAAAGCCGTAGCTAACGTTTGTATCAAAAATAATATGGAAAATAAGCACCCTTGATCCCTGTTCAAACACTTGCTATTCTTTGCCAGTTAGCTAATGACCGTTTCTAAGCCTTGCAATAGGACTTTTAAATATGACAATAGTAAAAACTCATGAATTTATGAAAACATAGAAATATGATGTGTCGATTGTCGTATGTCTTGGCAAAACTGTGGTGGTGAAATTGGCTATTAGTAGAGTACACATGCCTTTGCCTCTTTTACTCAAATTAATAAATACAAAGGATCTTTTAAAAGCCGTCAAAATTCTCACCAGAAAAGCAATGTATTCTTCGGATTTTTCTATTCAACAAAGTTCCCCCCACCAAATATTTCATAAACACCGGAAACAGGGAGAGAACTTTACACTCAACGTATAATCACTTTTCACTTTCACTTGGCACTTTCTGGTGTCAACACCAACTTAGCCACTTCTAAATGAATGAGTAAAGACTGATAGTCTCTTGCTTCAGTTAAAGTAAGAGTGGAAGGGCTTTAATATCAGCTACTATTGTCTATCTGCATGGGAATTACTTAAAAGTGTTCGTTGCTTTCCTCAACTATTGCTAGGGTAATTTCCAGCATGTTACACATAGTCTATCTTTTCAAGTGTTTTTTTTTTCTATTTCACCACTTGAGGGAATTGACAGCTGCCGGCTATTATACATCTTATCTGTATTAATGTTCTTTTTGTATATTGTCGCCAATAATATCATGAATTGCCGTCGTTTGCACTATCTTTGGTTAATCGTCTTATTCATATTTTCTGTTATTGCATTATTTAGGTTTTCGATTACGACTGGGGTTTGCAAGATGATTTTATGGGTTCGGCGCAAATTGACTTAACTCAATTGGAATTGGGCAAAGCAGAAGATATTAATCTGCAATTGCAGGATACCAATCATCCTGAACGACAAATGGGTGAAATTTTAATAAACCTGACGTTATGGCCACGCAGTCAAGAAGATAAAGAAATGGTAAGTAAAATGAAAACACCTCATGTGGTGTTAATTTCTCTGAAGTGCTTTAAGTATTGACACGCCAACATATTTCAAAATTTGTGACATACAACCCGGTGAACACTTCATTACAGTTCGTAATTTAATTGATTGTATCTTGTGACATTTAAATCGTTGCGAGACTTACCGTAAAATGAACGATATGGATGTAAATTCTTCTTTGCATATTCCATGGGGGATACGCAAACATTTGTGATGTTGATTTAAAAGTATAGCTCGCTTAAGCACTGAATATATTGCTTACAACCCGTAAAACATAAATCTTTTAGTTGAAATTTATATGAATTTATTAAAAAGTTTTAAATGCTTCATAGATCAATATTGACTTTTATTTCAAGGCGATAGTTTGTTTATTTAATTTTGTGATCTGGAAACTTTCAAAACTAATACTAATTTCAAAGAAATCTTTTTCTCTAAATCGCATGAATATTGAATTTAGTAAAAATCGGAAACAAAACTCATAGTTTCCTTTATGCGAATTCTTCGCAAATCTGGCTGTAGGTATTGTCTACCCTAATAAAAGTTTTAACTGAAAATAACCTAAAACTTTGTAGCCAACTACAAGTACTTTAACGCGATGTTAGGCATTTCATAAAAATTAGTCATAGCCTATATAGAAATGAATTGTTGAGGAGTTCTAATCTAGAAATGGGTCAATGTGGTATAAACTTAACGAAGTAAATTTGTGTGTCGCTGTTTTAGACATATTTGTGCCGTAAAATATTGCAAATTGCTTTTTCTTCCAAAGCTTTTTTCACTATGAATATATTTTCGGGTGGAATAGAAAAGGATTGCCAATCGGCTGACTGGATAAAATCTGCCTCTAATCATATAAAACATGCCTGCGCACCCCAACTGACTATATATAACTATTTACGCTGAAATTTAACTTAATATATCCACTATGGATATGTTTATACCCTACATCACTTATAATACAAGGGTATATTAAACTTGTGCAGATATATGCAGCATAGGGGAACTTGAAGTAGGTCCACCTTTTGTTACCGTTCGATTCAAAAAATGACTCGGAATATAAGCTTGTCAGTGCTTCCGCCCGCCTGTCGTGTTTTCTTTTGTTTAATCTATAGACCGCAATTTTGGGATATTTTGTTGAAATGTGATACAATGACGTATTTTGCCCCAAGGAAGCTATGACTAGTGACTGACCGGCAACACCAGAATACGATTGATAGTGACAAAAATAACTCTGCATGGATGAAACCTTTGGAAATATTTGCAATTTAATACAAGAACAACAACTTGCCATCTGCAGTGGAATTGTCTGTAAAGAAAAGGGTTCGTTTCTGATGAAGAGAGAAGCAGTATAAATGCAGTTGCTCTTAATCTAACCGAAGCCTGGCTCTCTGCTACGTTGTTATCTTACGATCCCTGGGGACTGTTCTTCTTCGATCATAACTACATTTGTTACACAGCAAACAAAAGCGAGTTATTTTCGCCAAATTTCGGCAATTTTTTGAACCACCAACAACTCCAGCAAAAAAAAAAGAAAATTGATTAGATTTTTATTGTTGCCTATAAGTCAATCATGAAAGAGAAGGTAAAGATGGCAATTCTTTTCCAAAATGACTTTAGCGTTCCATCTGAAGTTCTACGATAATGAAAACATGGTCCCCTTTTTAATCGTGTATAAATGAAAACTACAAAGTGGGAGAACTTTGGTGGGCCCGGGTCCGCCATTATGTACTCTCCACTAGCGTATGGGTTTCAAAATGAGGCCCTATATGGGAAATGATCGAGGAAGTTGTCTAATCCGGCCCATTTTTAATAGCGTTCATCCTTAGAATAAAACACTTGACTGTGCTAAATTTCAAAAAGGCGAAGTGCAGGTTGAACATAAGAAAATATGACTAACGGACTAGCTTTGAATAGTGAAACAATAAGTGTTTCTGAATCGATCAAGTCTTATTTGAAGTCCTTCTAGGCTTTGCGCATGTCCGCACAACTTTAATATAACCTTGCACCATAAGTGTGGTAGGGAATAACAAGCTAATTAATTGGTTTATTATTATAGTTTGTAAGCCAATAATGAAATATGGTAGACGTAACGATTTCTGTTCAAAACGCCTTTGGAGATATCTGCACCACCGACATTTTTGTGGAAAATTTTATTTTTTATTTTACAAATGACTTGAAAACGTATCTCTTAAATTTTAACGGTCCACTCAAAAGTCTACGACAACGAAAAAGTCTTCGATTTCTAAGTGGAAACATATAAAGCTGACTTCTGCTGGTGTCTTGTACTGTTGTCCCTCTTAAAGCCATGACATGAAATTTCTTTGCCACTTTGTTTTTATTTTTATGTCCTACACCACTTGTGGGCATATTAAGTTAGTGCGGTCTTATGTAACATGCAGAAAGTTTTACGAAGGACCCACCTATTATCATACCGATCGATTCAGTATCATAATCTGAATTGATCTAAACCGGTTTGTCCGCCTGTCCGTCTGATGTCTGCCCATGCAGGTTTGTGTCCGAGCTACAGGTTGCAAACTTTGAGATATATTGTTCTTACTTGTTTTATTTGACTAATTGTAAGAAATGAATGTTGAGAAAACAAGGCCCACAGCCTATAAAGCAATTGAGACATTAGATACGAAGAAGAGAAAATATTCATGCATTGTGGTAGAAAGCATTTTCCCGACTGCTACTTGTGAAAATGCAAAATGAGATTTGATCGTAATTAGACTAATAAAGTATTTACACGCTATTTCGACTCAATATTGCAACGACCTACCATTTATAAAAAGTAAAATCACAAAGTCATTCTAACCGTCTTCGCTAGTTAATCGGCGAAAGGGAGTGAGAGTAATTCGATAATCGATGAGGTAATGTGCTCAAAATTTCACAGAGTTATTAAGTCGTAAACTTGTAAACACTATAATTTCATCTTACTACACCTAGCAGTGGTGAATATAAACATAATAAGCGATCTAATGTATAGATATACCTCAAACTTTTATATGGAAATAGGATTGAAAGCTTTGAAGAAGCAACAAAAGACACTATTACTCTTTTTCTCTCATTGTCTTTCTCTCTCTATAGACTCATTAAGCTACTCATTCATCATCATACCGGTATATGTAATTACGAAAGACTGTTTGCTTTGCTTAACAAAGTCATTTCTCCAACTCGACTGGTGAAAAACTTTTTATTTCTACTATTTTTTTTCGTAGCTAACTAACAGTTTAGTTTATTTATTATTAGCTATTTACTCTAGCATAGGCAATTTAATTTACATTAGTCGATTAACACTTCAGTTTGATGACTCTGATAGTCATAAAAAGCTTTTAGTATACATTTAACGGCTTCGCGAAGAGTGTGACTGCGGAGTTTCTGTTTTTTTTAAAGTTTAATATTTTTAGGCCGGAAGTAATTGCAATATAACAGTGTCATTATACTTTGCAAGTTTCCCGATTGCTGATATGAAATACTCTTTAAGTGTAAATAAATTTATAGGACTACGGTCCCCGAAGATCAAACGTTTAACCCTAAATGATTTTGCAGAAATCTATGAGGTCATTTGATTCCAATAACCTTGAGACAGTTATTCTTTCACTTATGCGCTTTGTCCTAAAATTGTTTATGGAATTTTTTGCGGTTTTTTTCTTTTTATTGTTTATTTTATATAGCATTTTCAACGTAATAACAAATTAGCTGAATCATCAAAGCGTTTAAAATCGCAAATCTGGAGTTCGGTAGTTACGATACTTTTAGTTAAATCTAAAGATTTACCTTTAGGCGACGATGGCAGTAAACTCACCGATGCCCATATAAAGTTTAGGTAAATTTCTAATAATTCAACTAAGTAGAGAGTGTATTGTAAGTTCTGATTATTGACAGGTTGGGTAATGAAAAGTATAAAAGTAAATCTTCGTGGACGGAACGGTGGTTGGAACAATTCGATTTGCATTTGTTCGATGAGGATCAAACGCTTGAGCTGTCTCTATGGAATCGTAATAATTTATATGGCAAGGCTTCAATAGATTTAAGTGGTTTCCAACGTGAGACTACTCATGGCATATGGAAATCTTTTGAAGACTGTCCCGGCGAAGTGTTCCTCATGCTTACCATTAGCGGTACGACTGCTCTAGAGACTATTAGCGATTTGAAAGCATTCAAAGAAGATCCCAGGGAATTGAAATTATTACGAGATCGTTATCGTTGGCATCGTTGCTTACAACATCTAAGAGATATTGGACATTTAACGGTAAAAGTATTTGGCGCAACAGGTTTGGCGGCAGCAGATATTGGCGGTAAATCAGATCCCTTTTGCGTTTTGGAATTGGGTAACGCAAGACTGCAGACACAAACGGAATATAAAACGTTAACCCCAACATGGAATAAAATTTTTACATTGTAAGTGTGATCGGAACTAATGATAGCAACAAACTTATTTGCATTTTCTCGTGCAGTAATGTTAAGGATATCACCCAAGTGTTGGAGATTACCGTTTACGATGAAGATCGCGATCATCGGGTAGAATTTTTGGGTAAATTAGTGATACCCTTATTGCGTATAAAAAATGGTGTTAAACGCTGGTATACGCTGAAGGATAAGAATTTGTGCGTACGAGCCAAAGGCATGTCACCGCAGGTGATTTTTAAAGATAAATAGAAAAAGAAAACGAAACTCTTGTAAAACTTTAGAATTTCTTTTAAAAGATTTTATTGGAAATGACTGTAGTATGGAATGAATTGCGAGCCATTTGCCGTGTACTGCAACCCAAAGAAGAAAAACTCATCCAACAAGAGGCTAAATTCAAAAGACAATTATTTTTACGTAACGTTAATAGACTGAAAGTGATTATCATGGATATATTAGATGCCGCCAAATATGTACAGTAAGTTTCATTTTCGAACAAAGTCTTAATAAAGGTAATTAAAAATAATTTTTTTTTTTTTGAAATATGCAGAAGTTGCTTCGAATGGGAAAGTCCCTTACGGTCGTTTATAGCTTTTACTTTATGGATTCTAGCTTGTATTTATGGTAATTTGGAAACCATACCTTTGGTATTATTACTTATTATAATCAAGTAAGTGATCATAGATGAATGAAAATTGTAAAAAATATTTTTAATAATGTTTTTGTAATAATACTTTAGAAAATGGTTAATACGCCTTATAACCGGTACGACATCCGATCCAGCCAGCGGTGGCTATGATTACGATTACGATGACGATGACGATGATGATAAAGAGAAAGAAGAAAAAAAATCTATTAAGGAACGCTTGCAAGCCATACAAGAAGTTTCTCAAACAGTACAAAACACCATTGGCTCTTTGGCTTCTTTAGGTGAAAGTACCAAAAAGTAATCTATTTCTTAAAGCAAAGTCTTTTAAATATTTCAATTTCAAGCATTTTTCCTTTTCTTATTTAGTACTTTTAATTTTTCCGTCCCCGAATTGACCTGGTTAGCTGTTGTCCTACTAATAGTCGCTATAATAGTATTACACTTTATTCCCATACGCTTTCTGCTGCTCTTTTGGGGAATTATGAAATTCTCTCGACGGATACTGAGACCCAATACGATACCGAATAATGAATTATTGGATTTCTTATCGCGAGTACCGAATGACGAGGAACTGGTAAGCTACATACATAAATAGATATTTAGCATTTAAGTCTTACTTTAGTGGAGTATTTTTTTTTTTAATTTTAAGCAAGCGAAAAAAATTTCCGTTGTTCGAGCTCTTCCATGTTATATGATTCTCATTGCTTAGTCAGTCCGAGCAATTAGAACAATTTTTGGCAGCTTAGGTTAAACATTACCGATAGTCATTTTTGTATTACTTAATACAAAATCTCGAAATTAATACTACCAGTAATTAATAACTAATTAGTCTCGCGATAAAGTAAGAGAAGACATTCACCAACATAGTCTCTTTATCTCCTTCATTATAAGCCTTTGATTGGCTATTTTACACTTCTCTTAAATGTTGACAAATTCTGCACAAGTAACCAAGATATAACTTAAACTGCCGACAGATCAGCAAACGTATATTCAATAGTCATCTCGTATTGTCTTCTGTGCTCTTTTGTCATTATACGCTACATCACTTTTGACAAGTGCATGCCAAATTTGTGCAGATGCCCGCAATATCCATAAAGACTTGAGGTACCTCTTTTCGTATACTAATCGCTTATCGCTCCATTTATCTATCTGTCTTATATTTGTAATGAGATTCGAAATGCTGAAAAGTAAAACGAATGTTAACAAAAATAATTGGACCGGACTATTTTTACACTGAAGTGAAAATAACCCAGCAAGACAACCCCCATTTTTAAGATCCGCTTCTTCGCTAAGATGTTTTTGCTAAGTTACGTTTTATTGCGAAATAAACAATAAACATATAAAATAAGTATTAAAACCAAAGTAAGTAAGTTAAGTACACAAAACCAAAAACGCTAAATTATTGCTACTAAATCTCATAGAAAATTACGTTACATATGCTGAAAGAATGCAATGTTTAGGTCGTGCTATATTAATTTTCAGAGACATTACTCGACTACAGATTTTTGACATGTCTTCAAGGATGCCCAAAACCTATCAGAAAAACATAATTTTATTACCCTGGTCCCGGCCGATCACCACCAAATCCATCAAAAACTTACCCTCTTCATATACACAAGACACTAAATGCAAAATGTTGCAATAATGTTGCTAGTAAATGCGGCTAAAGAAATGTTCGATACGTTATGTTTTTGTTGCTATTGCAATATTTGATTTTATACACATAATTTTTTTGTGTTTATTGAACATGTACGTTTAAGATTACATGGTTGTTTACAATAGTAGCATGTGTTGAAAAGAGGTTGTACGCGGGTGTGCTAGCGCGTTTGTGCATGCACTTGCTTAGGCAGTTTTATTCATGTTATTGAGTTGTCGCCATTTTTCTAACTATGAATCGCGTACAATTTTATTCAACACATTCTATAGGCAAGTAGAATATATATGCTATGGCATATGTGTGCATATGGAGAGAACAGATTTTTGGCAATTTTGGTGGTGATGGACCGGAACCAGGGTAAAGAAATTAGATTTTTCTGTTAGGTTTAGGGACTTTGTGCCAACAATATACATGTACTGTATGGTAAATAGTAGGAAAAAAATTTTTTTTTTTAATTTCTTATAACATTTCTGTGTACTTTTTTATTTTATTTACGGTTGTATTTCTATGTTTGTTAGTTTTTCTAATCATTTTGTAGTGTTCAATTATCAATTAACTTAGCAGAGGTGCGAGCAAAGTGTGAAGATATCCCACCCTTTAGCAAAGACAAAAATGTAGGCTATGCAAAGTAGATTAACTTCACGAGAGTATTTGTACGATCTCTCTCCCCATAAGTCCATAATTCGAAAAAGTCGTTATAAGAGAATACTTTGCAATTGAAAATTAGTGGAAAAGAGTCAGTCACTCAATACATATGTTTATTGTAGTGTTTTTGGGTTATATAGAGCTATTTTTAGGATCAATCCCATGCAAGTGCTGTGATGGAAAGCTAGCCTTTACATGGCAGCAAGCCCTAATTTTTGATATTTTATGACGAAAGTAGAGGAGAATTATGTGACATAAAATTGGGACCTTGCACAAAAACAATGCAATAATGCTCGTAATCAGCCAATTAATTGATTCTATATGGCAAACAAAGTGACAAATCATGTACCTGTATATATGGTGAACAGTTTTACTTAGTTATAGGTTTTTTTTAGTCGACGCTGTTAGCCGTCGCTATTAATCCGAATAGTCTTTTATTATTCCCTTTCACACACATACACTATCTCTCTTACTCTATAAGATATTTGATCCATATTGGCCCTTGTCTATGCAAACTTAGGTACGCTTTGCCTGAGGACATACTCTGGGTGGTACAGTATTAAATGTGTGCATATTGTTACCCTTCTTGTCAATCTTTCCCTTTCAGGAAGAGCGAGACTCATCTACCATGTGACTGTCCAATTTTTTTGCCATTTTGACTAGACCCAGCTAAAGGAGCTTTTCCAATTTTCTAAGCGAGATCATATCGCTTGAGAACAGGCATATTTTTATCAAAGATTAGTCTTATAAACGTGTACTTGCCTCTGCTTAAATTTACTTATGATCTATTTTTTTCATAAATAGTCCAATATGTAAAAAAATAATGCCGACAAGGCCCGACTTATAACTTGGGAACATTTCAAATTTTATGTTCTCAGTGCTACGATTTCTCGCTCCAGTAAAACGCAATACGAGACGCTTCCAGAGCCCAGTTATATTGGAAAGCCCATAAGTATTTATATCGATCGATCCAGTTTGCCACCTCAAAGAACTATATCATGCCAAAATTCGCCTACAATTCTACAACTCTCATGAGCTATTCCTTGCTAATTGCCCAGTTTAAACTTTGTGTTAGGGGAGAGCATAAAGCGAAAAGTTTTTATTTAACTACATAATTTATTTATTACTGAATGCAATTTTAATTTCTTCAATTTAAAGAATCAATTCCGTGAACTACCACCTACTGCAGTAACTGACACAACGCGCAACAATCCAAAAAAGAAATATAAAGCTTCATAGTCCACGGCTTACGATGACTTTGCATCCACATCAGCATTTCATGGCGACGAATCGAATAAATTAACGGGCTCTCTAACTAAGGCCGCTGCTAATATATCCTCGAAGTCTATGCGCAATGTCTCGCAATTAATCAAAACAAGTAGTAACACTCTAAGGATGACAGCACGTAGAAAATTTCATCTAAATGAAGAAATGATTACGTAATTATTTGAAAACAAAAACAAAAGCACTTCTAACAACACATGACTGTAAATACACTATTCTTTAGTCTTCGGAAATCATAAACGCAACAAAAAACCCGTGAAACGTACTTTAAAAATTTAATAATTAATTAATTGTTTTAAAGAATTGTTGTTCTGGATAGTAGACCAGCATTATCTCAAATGTATTCGAAAAGCAATAAGACTAAGTTTTCTTCGACTATCACAATGCCGCGCATTACAAATTTCTTCCCTCAGGCCAAACTATTTTCAGAGAGTACTCTTTGAGCTGGAGTAGTTTGCATTCAACTATTCGCCAGATGTTTGGGCAGAGCACTGAAAAGCAAAAAAAAAAACAGTTTCCGCGCTCTATAAGAGTACGTGTACGTGGCTGAAAGTCTCCATTATTGTATACAGCACAACCACCCGCAGAATATATAAATGCAACCTTCTTCGTTGTTTAAAAGTAACGAGCAGAGAACCAAACCAAAAAGTTTGAAACCAGAAATGGTCTTAGGTCATGTCAGGTCAGGTTACGGCCGTGTCGTTTGACCGGTTTGACCTAATTTCAATAGCAGCCTGCGCGCAAAAACTTGCTATGAGCTGAATTTGAGGCAGATTGCTGCATTTTTGCAGGAGAGAAGAGAGGAGAGAAGAGCAGTCAAACAGACAGGAAGGCAAGCATGGATGGACTGACATACGGACAAACGGGCATAATGTGGATGAAGAGACCGATGAAAGGGGAGACGGACATGCTTAAATTGGTTTAGAATTTGATGCTGATCAAGAACTTATGCTACGTTACGGCATTCTTTGAGGTTTCTTTCTGGATGTTGCAAACATTAGGACAAAGTGTATTCACCTCTCATCCTTCGGTGATAAGTATTATAACTGTTTTGAAAAAATCCGCACTTTTTAAGAACAAAAGGAGAAAAACTCTTATTACTTTTCGAGCACAGCACTATGCATATGTATTAAATGATCAATTTTTAAGCTTTATCTGGATTTGTATAAATAGCGTATATAAAAAAGCAGAACTTATCTTAACATTTTGTGATATTTTTCAAGAATTCCTTCAAATTAATTTTTTTTTTTTTTGTTTTTTCTAATGAAAATAAATATTATATAATGACTTGAAATATTTTTTTTTCTTGTAATAATATAATAAATTATCTAAAAGGTTCAAATTTACCTTCCCAATGTGTACTTCCCATGTTAATGTTCACTCATTTTTTAATAAACAGATATTAAGCTCTATTCATTTTTAAATATCTATATATTTGATAAGTTATTGCTTAGTTAGTTATGCGAATGAAATTCCGTAGTGTACACAAATGTACCTAAAATTGATATTACGTAATATGTCAATGAATACTTACGAAAACGTTTAAAACGAAAAATTATATATTTGTAAATTAATTCAGAAATTTATTTAAATTAATTATAAAAATTTGTCAGCGATTCCTTAATAACAGAGTAAATAAACAAAACAAAACAAAAAAAAAAAATTTTTTTTGCAAAGAATTCCAAGCAATAAAATTTATTATTACAATTACATATGAGATATTTTATTTCATTCTACCACTCAGTCATGGTTGATATAGGGTATATTATATAACATTTGATACGAAGTAAGTAAAACATAGAAAAGAAGCGTAGCACAAGTCACCTTTAAAAAAAGTTAACGTCCAGTAATTTTCGCGTATAAGAACCAATGAAAAAACTCAGGTTCATCAAGTACTTAGCACATATATGTTTTGATCAAAATATAACGAGAAATTTTGATGTGTTCTTTACACGGTACATTATCGCTCCTTTGCTGGATATGTTTGATTTGTTCTTTTGCCAAAGCATTTTTCTCTTTGATGAATCCTAAAGATCTTGTATTAAAAATGTTGTTTTTAGGGTCCGAGTGACATTTTGAAATAGGAAAAATCAAGTGCTTACATGTCTGGAGAGAATTCTGCCAAGAACTGTTGGAAAACTGAGTAGTTTCGATCAAATTTTACTGCAATTAATTTTCAACTCATACTATTAGTATAAATTGCTTTACATGATCCCTATGAAACTCAACGGCCTTCTTATGAGTCTACCGCATAGGTTAAGAAGCGCGACGACTTACTAGAATTCAATTCCCCGTGCATAAGACCTTACTTCAATACGGCTGGCTTGTGATCATACCGATTGTAAATGCTCGGGCGTTAAAAGCACAACACCTACCGATCAAGCGCACATCTCGGCCGCCATCATGACCACTTGCACTTCTTCTCCTCCTACTCCTTCTTGACCATCACAATGTTCCACTTAAAGCGAGCATTCCCTAGGCAATCCGTCATATTTAAAAGAAAAAATATAACAAGTTAAGGTAAGATAAGACAACAGAAGAAAAAATAGAATATATAGTCACTACATTGGTAATATCAACCGGAAACATCTGATAGCAACTTAATGTATCCACTGACGTTTGAATAAGTTTCTGGATTGTTTTACTCATAAGCACGTATTGATTCAACTTTCTCTACCGACTGTTGCGTACCTAAATATATAAGCATTGCAACTAACAAGTCCGTGCTCGCGAGTTCAAATCTCATTGCGGTAGACGGTATTTTAACTACTAATAGTGACTATAGTGAATGCTCAGTCAGCAAAGGCATAACACTTACCGGTTTGACGCTTCTACTGGGCTACGATTACTCCCTACATATTTGTCTTTCTTCTTGCTGACCATGACCGCGATACACATATAGCGTATGTCCTTATTTCTACCACAAATCTGAATAGTAGCATATGTACCCTTGCAACAGTGCCGCAAATTAAAATCGTAAGTAAGAAGAGATCCAAAATTTTCAATAAATTTTCATTATTATCTATGATTTTTATTTGATATCATACAAAGCTCTTACATATGTACTTATAAAAAAAAATAACGTCGTAATCAAAAATTATTTGAAAAGATTATATATCCAAGAATATAGCTTTACTGCTTGTCTTACATTAGAGACCTTGTCAACAACAAAACGCGTTTCTTAATTGCATTTACTGGCCGGGACACACCTTGAAATTGAATTTTTGAAAAATCCTGGCAAACATGTGCAGCCTTGGATACAGAGTCTTTGACAATTAGGTTTCGGATCAACACAAGAGGGCACGCAATCCGCCCAACATTCTGTATACTTTTCGTTCATACCACATAGCCCTAAAAGGCAAAGCAATTCAATAATTTCTTGGAAAAAGTTATATAAAAATATTCTTAAAATTTACATTTCGTTTCGTCTAGAACATCTAGACTTAACGTAAACGTCGTCATCGAAATAAATAAAAAGACTTTAATATATATATTCAGCATGTCCGATTTGATCAGATTCAATTAGTTGTTAATAAATGCCGCACTTTTTCCTAAACGGCTCGCGAAAAACTGATAGAAAAGAAATTTTAAATATTTTATCGTTAATATTGTTTTTAAAGAGCGTAAAATTTAGATTATATTGCGTTAAAAGGCGTTAAAATATTAATAAAAACAAGTTTTACGATGGGCTCATTATACTCTATTTGAAGTAAAATTGATTTTACTCTGCATGGCAGTAACCAGCAGTGCTACTTAGTGTGGTAGATATATTGACTGAATCTTTGTTTATAACCTTATAAAGGCTTATGTAGGACTAACTATCATCCTTGATTATAAAACGAATAAAAAATTAACAGTCGGGCAACGCCGACTATTACATACACTGCACCAATTCGCTTAGTACAGTTATTCGCATGTTTTGGTAATAACACACCAAAAGTACAAGTTATTCTCATGCAATGACATAATTTTCATGAAAGTCCACGTATTGGAAGGTTTAATTTTCTACCCATATAAGAGTTGGTGTTTCGTGAAAGCGCCTATATATGTTAGGATCGCAAAACAATAGACCTATGTGATCTAAATTCCATACCGTTAATTTTTTGGCTGAAACGCAGGTATGAATTAATTTTCATTACAAAATATTAAAAATTAACCCTTTCCCAAGGGACCCACTACTCATGGCGCATTTTATGCGAAATGGGGCGAAGAGATAGACAAATTAAGTTCATTTAATATTTTTATGTGATTACTATCTTAAAATAATATTCATTATAAAAAAATTAATAATTAGGCTTTTGGGCATATAAGGGCTTACTTTTCATGAGAATTCTTATATGCGGTGGTATCCAAAATATAGACCTACGTGGTCAAAACCGGTGAGGTATACTTCTTTATCAATATACTGTTATGAGATCATTTTCACCATGAAATATTGGAAATTCGACCCTTTCACCATATAAAGATTCAATTTCCATGGGGACGGTTATATGAAAGCGGGTCCAAAAAATTTCCGCAACGGGTCCAAAGTTTTTACAGTTTCCTGGCGCCGCAGACTTATAGAAAGGACACATTCACATTCTAAAATTTTCAAGATGCTTAACGCGAACCAAGACCCGCGGAAAAACTTCTTGCATTCTTTTCATTGTTTTCATCTGAATTTTCTATTCGAAAGCAACTTTTCCTATAGAAATATGTAGGATTTTTTCGACAAGATAGTTCGAGCATCTTTTATTAGTAAACAAATAACAGTTGGAACATATTTCGACCATTAGACACCCGCCACTACTCCGCTTAACGGAGTTATTTATAAAACAAATTTTCAAAGTAAGGCGCAGTACAGTGATTGATCGAAAAATTAGTCTGGTATGATTATTTTACTAACTTTCGTTCTCTATCCCAAAAACGAAAAAAAGTCTCTTTTTAAGATATTAAAGTGTCATTACCTCTTACGCAATTATTCCTGTATCGTTATCGGGGAAAAAAACATATAAATGGTCGGGAGATACATGAAAGGCCTAAAGACTTTTCGGAGCCTATAGAGACGATAGTGAAATATAAAGCTATACGTCAGATTCTTTGTTTGTCTCATATTGACAGACGGAGTATGTAACTATTTAAAGCATCTAAAATCTTTTCTTTCTTAAAAGCCTTTAATGTCTTAACAATTTCGGCTTACATGTCAAACAGTCATAAGCAAAGAAGTATTGTATCTCCAAC